GCACACCGTGATATCAAATTAGAAAACATCCTAGTCGATGCAGCAGGAAATGCAAAGTTTTGTGACTTTAGTATGGCAATTGAAATCACAGAGGGGCAGATGTTGGAGGAGATCTGTGGCTCCTTGCTCTATTGGGCCCCAGAGATCTTGGCAAGAAAGCCCTATGATGGACTGGCAGGTGATATGTGGAGCTTGGGTATCGTCCTGTATGTCCTGGTCACAGGGCACTTTCCATACATGGAAGAAACCCTTGAAGGTATGCACAGGCTCATCACCACCACAATGTGTCCCATTCCCTACCATCTGTCAAAACCCTGTTATTTCATCATTGCCCAACTACTCATGGTCCCTATCTGGTACCGATTCACAATCTGTCAGCTTGTGGGAAGAGCATGACTGGGCCCAATTCAAGAACATGTACTGCCTGCCACCAAAGAAATCCTGCCCAGGGTGGTGGAGACCATGTGCACCATAGGCTATACCTGTGAGGAAATTGTTTCATCCCTAACTCACAGGCGAGAAGATAATCATGTGACAGCTACATGCAACATTCTCAGATACCAGCTGAGTGGTGGGGACAGCCATCAGCAAGATCAGATGCCCTGGTTAACCAGCAGCCCTGCAGGTCCTGTTCACCTCCCTCTTCCCTTGACCGGAGAGCCAGCGAACCAGCGTTCACAACCAGTACACAAGCTGGGAAGAGTCACCTTAAGGTGGATGGTGTGGAAGAAAGAGGCAAAAGAGGCAGAAGCTACACCATGCACCACAGATCCTCCTTCCTGGAGGCGATGCCCGGTTCAGACAACACAGTCCCAGAAAGAGAAGCTCTTATGGCTGATGTCATCAATACTGCTACAGAGGACATTGCAGTCAACAGGAATTCTGTTGACCACCTGTCTGGCAATCTCTCCTGTCCTGAATCAGTCTTGGATGTAACACCCACAGGATTTCTAAACCTGGGCTTCTCTGAAGAAGATTCTTCCCAGGAGCCAGACATTCCCAGTGACCAGCCCCAGGTGGCACCCATGACAGCTGGATCCAGGCCATTGAGGGTCTGGAAACTGGTGAGGAAGCAAATTTCCCATGCACTGAGAGCACTGTGCAGCTGCTGCTGCTGCTGCTGCCTGCCCACACAAAGGTGAGCCCTGAACCCTTGCATCAGGGTCTTTAAGGAAAGAGAGGACAGTGGAGGCCCATTGGTTGGGCCACACAGATGAGTTCCTACATTTTCCTTTCAATATGCGTTTTCTTTT